CAGCGGCACCCAAAAGGGGGCGATGACCGCGAGCATGCCAGCGGCCTCGCGGGCCGCCCTGGTGGCGCACGCCACGGGGCGGTTCCGAGGGCCCCGAAGCAACTGAAACATCATGCGCAGCCAGAGAGGAGGAGGAGGGGGAGGAGGAAGAGAAAAATACAATCGCCTGGCTCCTCCAGGCATTGGCCACAATACGGTGCCTCCGAGCAGTGACCCTCAGACGAGCCTCAAAATGCTGCTCAACCGAGCCAGGGACGCCGAGACGACGGTTATTGTGGGACGCAACAAAAGCATCTATACAAACGGCAAACAGAACATTAGATGACATCGGAGACGGTGACAGCAGAAGGAAGGGGAGGAGCCAGGGAGAACCCTCAGGTAACCAAGACGACGAAATAAATAAGTGACCAAGCCAACGACGGAAGAGAGCAGCAAGACGAGGGCAACGACTGTAATGCTCGACAGAATCAAGATCCTGAGAACCATCATCTCGGCATCCCAACAGGCAACCAGCAGATCTGGCATGAAATCTACGCGAGGAACATAGACCACGGCACAAGAAACGATATATGCCTACCAACAGATATGGTTGGGTACTCTCGACTAGGACGAACGAGTTCAGGAAGAAACGATCCATCATCGGAAGAGTTAGCTGAGGGAACCAGGCCGAAATCCGACGATAGAGAATACTGCGGGCATCTTCACGAGGGCCAAAGTGCTTAAGACAGCGAGCGTATAGTAGAGCTTGGAGCTTGCGACTAGACTCATCAACACGCAACGGGATGCTCGTGTACCATTCCTACAGCGTGCGCATATATGAAAGAAAGCTGGATTTCCACCAGCCGGTGCGAACCCGAACCATAATCACGTCATCGTCAAACTCGAGAGAAGATAGACGGGCGAACACTTCTAAAACAGCAGGGCGCCTCAAGATATACCTCAAGCATGTCGCTCGAGCCAGCGACGCCAGCTCAGGAAACTCAACTGGAAGATTAAGCTGGCGAAGCTGTGTACACATCGCATAACTGAATGCATTCCTCGGCCCAGCTGTGAGAAACATGACCGACTCACGATAGGCGTGAAATAGCTGCTTGCTTATGGGGTTGAGCTGGAGAATAAAGCCAAGCACGGAAACACACATGACACGGAAAGCAACAGCAGCACGGGTAAGACCCAAGCCCAGGCGGCGAGAGGTCCCCACACGGAGTCTGAACTTACGAAGAGCCTCCGACCAAACCTCAGAGGATCCCCGAGGACCGATACACATCCCAAGATATTTGACACAGTGAAGCACTTGAAGCCGTTTGATGTCACCCTTCAGAACTTTGACGGAGGACCGAACCCAGGAGATCTCAAGATTCCCAACCAAGAGTAACTGACATTTGTGATAGTTAAGACGAAGCCCCGCAATACGTTCTAGGTCTTCCAACTTGTGAAAGACGGGCCCCAGCGATGTAAATATACCAGGAAGACCGAAGCAGAAATCGTCCGCATATGCCAGCGAGAGCGATATGTGAGACGCAAGCGATGCTTGGACCCATCTGAGCAAAGGGTCAGCCGCCAAGACAAAAAGAAGCATGCTGGATGGGCACCCTTGCTTCACTCCTCTTCCCATGCAAATCCTCCCATGCCTCTTCCCTCCCAGTACAATAGTAGCATACTGAGCTTGATACAGCAACGTGAAGAAACGAATAACAGCGGAACTGATGCCCATGCGGGTAAGCACGTGCAGAAGCCATTGCGTCGCGAGCGAGGGGAACGCAGCACAGAAGTCGGTCATCAAGAGGCCAGCGTTGTCATGACCTCGTGCATATTGTTCTAACCCCCAGGCTTCTGCCTCGACAATGTTGGCTACCATGTCCCTGGCGTGCGCGCACTTCTGGGCAGGCGAGATGAGGGAAGAGGAATTGGCAGCAAGCGGGATCGACATAATACCCGCTAGGATTTTAATGTCAGTGTTGCTCATGCTAAGAGGACGGGCATCTTGCGGACGACGGGAGACACGAGGACCATCATCGCGATCATCTGAGCCTTTCGGGAGGAACACCATAAGACTGTGACACATATCAGCTGGAAGAGATTCGACGGTGCCGTGAAAGAAACATAAGTAGGCATCGTAAAGGGCACGGCAAGCGGGTTCGGCTCGCCAAGCACGGTAAGGAATGCCATCAAGGCCAGGCATGCTGTGGCATCTGGCGCGAACGTAGTCAACAAAGGTAGGATAAGGAACCAGCCACTCCATTGGAAGCTCCTCGGGTAACGGCTGAATGTGAGCAGAGACCTGAGGCCAAAGGGATTCGTCAAGTTCACAAGGAGAGAACACTCCAGCCCAATGATCCCGAAGAACTTCCGCAGACCGCTCCAAAGAGACACAAGGCTCCCCAGACTCCTCATAGATACAAGACACGGCGGTACGGCTTCGAAATCTCCTCCAGAGTTCCTGAAAACGAAGAACACGGGCTTTCAAGTTCTGTTTCGTCGGCTCAGGTGCATCAGAACGCTCAATCTCCTCTTGTTCCTGGTCCAGGAGCTGCATCTGGATGCAACGAATCAGGGCGCAAAGGCCCCGAATATTCGTGCACTCGAGCGTGTGAACGTTAAAGTGAGAAGACAACGTGGGGTAACACTTGAGCGCAGAACCAATCATCCATCCCTTCCTCAACCTGACCCCCCTCAGTGCAAACATCGCCCAGTGATGTTTCAGCTCTAAAGACGTAGCGACAGTGACCTTCAAAAGCTCGCGGATTTGCTGGGCAGCCACAAACATAAGAGCTTTGATCGCCTCCAAGCGGCCCCACACGGAGAGATCCCTCGCGTGCGCATCAAATTCGACCACCAAGGCTTCAAGTAGGGAGGAGAAATCAGGATGTGCAGCGATGTGTTTGGGGATGGTGGGGAAGTCCTTGGCAGGAGTGAATGGCGACAGAGAGGCAAAGACAGGGATGTGGTCGCTCGGGGAGCGAGCTTGAAGGCGGCCAACAACACCACATCGGACATCGTAGTCCCTAAGATAGGCCTGTGGTAACGTGGTATATATCCGATCGAGACGAGCCGTGTGTCGAATGACGCCATCGCGAACCTCCCTCCTCGTGTCGGACTCCTGATACACCTCCGTAAGCGTCGGAAACATGCGGTGAAAAAGGCGAGAGTGGGCCCGATCGCCATGCGTCCATCCGCTCCCATCTCCTTGCATCCTCCCCTCTTCCTCCAAAGCAAAGTTAAAATCACCAATGAGCATACAATGCGCCGAGCCAGCCTCCTTGACTGCTGCTTGAAGAACACGCAAGGCAGCAGAGTATGTGGCGAGCGTGTCGCTCGTGTTGGGCATGTGAACGTTAAAGAGGACAAACGCACCAGAGGGGCCAATACACGTCGTTTGCAGAATACGACCAACAATAAGAGCCTGGTGGTAAATACGAGGAAAGATGACCGAGACCTGAGGGCCCAAGACAGTAACCACCCCACCTTCACGTTGAGAATCCTCGAAACCCGAGAAACCGATGTTGACTCCATGAGAAGCCCCATCCAGCTCCTTGCGGAGCTCTTCAATATCACCAATATGACCGTGAGTTTCCTGACCACAGACGATCTGAAAACGTCGAGAGAGGGAGAGGAATAACTGATACCTCGCACTGGCACGCCACGAGCCACAGCGCACGCTGCTAAAAAGACCGTGCGTGTTCCAGCTGCAGAGGGACAGTGGGCACTCAGGAGAGAAGGGAAGACAATTGGAGTGGGGAGGTCTATCGTCACCGATGTCATCAACAGTAGGAGAACCAGAGGAAGGAAGAGGAAAGCTGGAACGCGGCAGAGCAGGCGGCAGACAGCATTGATCATCGCCGAAAGGGCGAGCGCAGCATCACCGCGGCGGCAGAGCGGAATGCCTCAGCGTGCTGGTGAATGCCAAACTCCTCCAGGGCTGTCATGTCTAGGTCCAGTTCGACGGAGGCATCGTCCGAGACCAGCCGGAGAGAAGCAAGCACGACGGGGTCATCTTTGGCACGAAGAACGTAGATGCTGCCGCCGACGCCATTGCTGTTGACGTCGTATCCCCTAGGACGCAAGAGCTGCGTCATCTCGTGCCTCACCCTGCCCATGCTGAGGAAAAGTTGGCGAAAGCGAGCATCTACATCGCGACGAAGGCGAAGTGAGAAAGGCTGTTGACCCAGCGGGTCAGGAAACTCAAATTTGCCATCAGCTTCGAACCGCAGGAGGAAGTCGCTCGCCTCCGTCGCAGTCTCGAAGTGGAGAGAAATCTTACGAGTAAGATCAAAAGCTTTGATCACGATGCGAGCGTGAGAAGCCGAGGGCGAGTACTTGGCGCGGATCGCCTCCCCTATGGCCTTGAGCGTGGAGGCAAGCATCCGACGCGGGAAGCCCAGGACGATCAGCTTCGTGTGGTTGTCATTCGTCTGCTCCGTGCGCACAGTGCTCTCCACGCGCGTAGAACGTGTGGAGCCTGCCGAAGACAGAAAAGATAATTTCTCCTCAATGTCCGCAAATCTTCTTCTGGACGTGAGAGCTAGCAGCAGAGGAGGAGTCAGAGGCAGCAGTCGGCGTCGGCGAGCTCTCCAAGTCGCAGACCCTGGCATTCATCTTCTCGATGGAGTCCCGTAGGTCGGTCGTACATGCCGCGTGGATCCCCTCCATATGGGTGATGCGACTGTGGATGTCGTTGCCCATCGTTTGCATGTTCGTCGTGAGCTGGTCACAGCGCATTAGTTGCAGGTCCATCTGGGTCTTGAGCTTCGAGACTTCAGCAGAGCTGTTCGCCACTTGCTGGCTCAACCCTTGGAGCCCAGAGAGGATGAGGTCGAACTTAGCGTCCCGCGAGCTAGAGACCTCCCTGTTCGAGCGACTCTTGGAGCGAACCTCAGAGGAGCTGCCATCATTCGATCGCTCTCGGCGGTTGCCTCGAGCACGGTTGCCAGAGGCAGGCATGGGAACAGGAGGGGACGGGAAAGAGTGGCAGTGCAAGTGTGAAGCTCCAGCTGCTGGAGGGGCCCTCGAGCCTCCCCGTCGGCAGCGACCAAGGATCAATCCCCAGGGAACAGGATTGAGCCTTGAGCCAAAATGGCTACGGATTTCCCAAAAACCCCCTTTTGGAACCTTCTGGTCAGAAGGCAGCGGGGCGTCTCGGCAGCCTTCCTGGCCTTCTGAGAAGTTGTCTGCGTCGTCCTCGGGGAAGGCGGAGGAAACTTCTCGTGAGGCCCGGGTTCGTCCGAGCCCTTCTGAGAAGGCCCGCCCCCTCCCACTTGCCCCCCCGGGCTCGCCAACGAGTCTCGATGAAGAATGAGCCAAGGGAAAGAGAGAGGCTCAGACACGCAACATCCTGAGCAAAATCAGGAAGTGTTTTTTTCTTCTGAATGTTCGGCCTCCGGAGGCCCTCACCCGGCCTGCGACCGTCAACAAGAACGGCTACCCCGATGGGTTCAACTGACTACCTACCAGACCACCCCAACCCAACCCGAAGACCCGAATTTGACCCGAATCTCGGGTGGGGGTACGGGTTCCATGTGTTTTTTCCTGTTCCCCGACCCCCCCCCTGGAAATCGAGGATAAATGTGGGCCTTCGGGTTGGGTTGGGGTGGTCTGGTGGGTGGTGATCAACGGGTTCTCGGTGGCGGTCGGCCCTGTTTCTCTCCTGACTGAAAGACGCGGGCACTGAGGCAAAAGGGTCCTGGAGAACTTTCGCCGCCTCAGCGGGCCCCCTGAGCCATGAGCTGGCAGCGAGGCCGAACACAAGATTGCTCTCGGGAGGGGGAACTGGCACGTACTGGTGAAATCTTCTGGGGTCGAAGAACTGTTCTGACCAGGACCCGCTTCCTTCATGCCAAGCTCGAAAGCTCAGAGTCGTTCTCGCCGCCAGCGCGGAATCGGCGCTGGAAAGCGCCGGCGGGCTCGCAGATCAGCGCGGTGGAGATAATCGCGGGGGAGGTCGGGATGCAGGAAGGAAGCCCGAACATGTCAAGGACTCAACAACTTCTGCTACCCCTCGACTCGCGCAGGCTCGTCGACATTTGAATGGCTTCTCTGGGCGTCTCTGGATTTACCTCGGCGAGGACTGCGTCGACACGCAGGTGACTTATCTGAACTAGATCCCCCCAAATCGATTGAATAATATTCGCAAAGCCCTTTGGAAATCGGACGGTAGAAGAGTCGTACACTGGCACTGCGGCCCCAACAGGACAAAAGCACCGCTCTTCACCTTTCGGGATGACGGACAAAGGTCCAAAAAAGCACGGCTCCTGAACCCAGGGCTTTCCCTTGTGACCCGCTTTCCAACCCGAATGGTTTCTTTATCAAAGGTCCTGGGTCCGGTGGCCCGACCCGGCAGGACCCTACCCCTGCACGGCGTTCGCCTCCCTATAGAAGCCTCCCACATGGAGTTCGAGCAAATGGGGTTGGAGTGACACCTCGGCAACGCCCGACTGACCTCCTGTCGGAGCAGGGCGAGTTGAGACACCAGCGGCTCCAAATGGGCCCCCAGACCCATGCCCAGGTCCAAGACAGCATCTGTGGCAGGTTCGTATCGTCCCGACTTCGGCTTTGGTTTCTGCCAACGCGGCGACTGTTCAACCTTGAACGATCGGCCGTTCCCGAAACGTAAGATCGTTCAGCATCGACCGATTCTGGTTCGCTGGCGGCGCTCAACGTTGAACGCCGGCGGCGAGGTCGCCACCTGTCGACACTATGCGACCCTTGCGCACTCGGACCCCTAGGAGACCCCAACTTCCCCAGGCGGCCCTCCTGCCTTTGGACGCCCGAAATGGGTACGGAAAACATGGGTACAGTGCCCAAGAACAACTGTTGTCCCAAACCAGCAACGGCCGCTGTTGGGCAGGCGGCCTTCCATCTCAAATGGACACAGGCCGCGGCGGCGCGGACGGCGAGTCCTGTTCAAAATGGGCAAGAACTGCTGCTGGGCATCGTACCCGCTCTTTCCGTACCCATGTCGGTCGTCCCGACTGCCGAGCCGAGCCCACCGCCGCCGCCCCGGGCACTCACTAGGCGAACGAGGAATGACATAAACATAACAACTCGGAGGTTCGCGCGGATTTCTCAAATCGGCGCTGGGGCCCCCTGGCGGCGCCTCCGGCGCCGCCCCTGGCGCGCTCCGCGCGCCAGGGAGGGGGGTCCAGCGCCGATCCGAAATCCGCGCGGACCTCCGAGCTTTTATGTTTATGTGACTTCTTGTTCCCCTACTCCTGCCGAGCCGGGCCCACCGCGGCCGCCCCGGGCACTCACGGCATCTCGGCCAACACGCACCCGCGCACGGCCGCGATGCCGAGCTCCCGGCAGCGCGCCTCGATCTCGGGACTCTCCGCCTGCCCGTGGCTGTGACCGCCGCGGCCGCCGCCGCCGCCCTCGCCGCCGCCGCCGTCGGCTCCGAGTGGCCACGCCCTCCGCCGTCACTTCCCTCGCCGCCGCGTCCTCCTGGCGGCGCGCAAAGGGGGTGGAGGGAGGGGGGGGGCTTCTTAGAAGGAGGCTGCTTCTTAGGAGGCGCCGGCCTTACATCTATAGATCAGGCCCGCGCCTTCTAAGAAGCAGGGGTGCTTCTGAGAAGCCCTCCCCCCTCCCCCCACCCCCCTCTGCGCGTGGCTGAGTCCTCGCCGCCGCGTCCTCGCCGCTGCTCGCTGCCGCCGCCCTGGCGGTCGCGCACTTGCCGTCCTCGCCGCTTTCGCCGCCCCCCGCCGCCGCTGCTGCCGCTCGCCGCTCGGCGGGGGCTCTCCGGCGTGGGAGGGAGGGGGCGCGTGCGGGAGTGCGCCCTCCCGAGCGGCCCAGCGGCCAGGCTGCCAGCATTTCCTCAAGGGGCCCAGGGACACACAAATTCGCCGGCCCAACGGGCCAGAGGCGTGCTAAGATCTCCGGTAACTGGTTCACAATATTTCTAGTTCACGCGCGCGGGGCGGCCCCTGGGGGTCCCCCGGCAAAAAGTATCCCGACCGCAGCCCGACCAAGTCTACCCAGAGATGGTTTTGAGGGCCTTTTTTCGACACCCCTCACGAGGATCGTGGCCTCCGAGGGGGGTGCACTCGACTACCCCGCCCCAAGATGCCCCCAAGAGCCCCCCGAGAGGCCTAAGGGGGCCCCAAGACGCCGCCAAGGAGCCCCCAGAGACCCCCAAGAGGCCCCCAAGAGGCCCCTGGTAGGCCCCAAAGAGGCCCCGAAGAGGCTTCAAAGATGCCCCATAGAGCGCTCGAGGGCCGGCGGAATGAGCGAAGCGATTAAATGAATACACACAAACACACATATAAAAGGATCCCCCATATTGATTTATTTTTTGGGGTTTTCGTCTTCCCCCCCACTTTCCATGATTTTCTGGAGGTCGACGATTCATTGTGTCTGTGTGCTTTTTTCCCTCCTGATTTCCTCCCGTCCCCCCGCCCCACACGTTATCAGGAAACTGATGGTGGCTTCGCGCGGCAACCCGGGACCCAAACTACGTCGGATCCACGCCGGATTTCTACGCCCGGTCCCCGTCGGATTTGCGTCGGAGATGCGTCGGAGATGCGCCGCGCGAGCTCCAGGCGGCCTGATTGTAGACTCTTGGCAACTTTTGCGCCCAGTGGGGGAGAATGTGTTGGCCTGCAGGATCCGGCGCGTCCCGCCGGGGTCCCGGGAGATTCCCGAAATTCCGTCTGTCAATGCCTTTATTGCCCCAAGTGGGCCCAAGATGGCCTCCAAGACGGCCAAGATGAGACAGCCAAGATGGCCTCCAAGACGGCTAAGATGGTTACAAAATGCACCCAAGACGGCCCAAAATGGCCTCAAGATTGTCTACGACGGCCCTAAAGGCCCGCAAGAGGCCTCCAAGACGGCCCAAGAGCCCTTCAAGACGTCCTCCAGGAAGGCCCGACGAGGCCAAAATCATGGATTTTCCGTAGATTTTGAAAGGAATTTGGCATTTGCGCCTTTTCGGCTTTCCGACGACCCAAGACGGCCCCAGAGGCTCCCAAGATCGCCCCAAGATCGCCCAAGAGGCCTTCAAGATGGCCCCATGACAGACCAAGACGCCCTGAAGACCGCCCCAAGAGGGCCCGAAGACGACCCAAGAGGCCTCCAAGACGCCCAAGATGGCATCTAAAACGGCCCTGGAGTACCCCAAGAGGGCCCCAAGTCGGCCCCGAAAGGCCCCCCAAACGGCTTCCGACGGCGTCAGACGGGCCAGGAGCCCACCAAGATGGCCGAAGTTGGCTCGAAGCTGGCCCAAGACGGCCCAAGAGGCCTCTAAGAGGGCCTCCAGGACGGCCAGAAGTGGGCCTCCAGGAAGGCCAGAAAGAGAAGGGCCTCCAGGAAGGCCAGAAAAAGGACCCCTCCATAGCATCTGCAGCGCCCCAGGTGCGGAACCGGCGCCGCCAGAAGGGGGGCCCAGCGCAGATCAAGGAAACCCGCGCGGAGCCGCGAACATTTACATGTGTTCACCTCTCCTCTGTTCCTCGACTCTCGCAGGTCGATTGGAGAAGGGTCGTCACACCCTTGCACCCCTGGAGGGGCTCTCGAAGGGCGGGCACAAGCGTCTACTCCTCCTCAGCTCCACTCCCAACCCCCTGCACCCGTCACGTGATTCTACTGAATGTGCATGTTTCTGACGATTCTCACGCTTTGCGTCGTTCGGCCCTGCCTCGCTCGGAGAGGCTGGCGTAGGCCGGCAGAGCTGGAGCTGCTGCCCGAACTCTTGCCAGGGCTTGTCAGGCTTCGACGGCTTGCCTGGCAGGGATTCGCGGTACTCGCGAATGGCAGGGTCGGTCGTCTGTCACTCCCCTGTGGGCGTCTGGCACTCTACTTCCGAGCTCGCTCGCCCCCCAGCTACAGTCCGAGCCTCCCGCGCAGCAAAAAGATCAGCCAATCCTGCTTCGCAAACTCGCTGCCCCAAGAACCCGCTCATCATCGCGCTCTTCCTCCTCATCCTCAATCTCCCTGCGCTCTCCCCCCCTCCCCATCCGTCCTTCACTTGCCATCGCTGCGAGGCGGGGATGTATAGAGATCCGCCGCCTGGGAACCGACGTCCTGGTGCCCCAGCTGGCGGTGGATATGGAGATATATTTTGGCCCCCGGGGGCCCGCATACATCCATATCCACCGCCTGTGAAGGTCCGCGAAGATCGACCCCCCAGGCGCCGCGGCATCCTCAGTGGTCTTCAACATTTTACCAGCCTGGAACATATGCCTATCCCTATGCTGGGCATCCCCTCATCACGATGCCGATCTTAGGGATTCCCTTATATTTTGAGGGCGAATCCCTAAGATCGCCATCGCCTCTTGGCGTGACGCTCTTAGGGATAGGGATACGTTCGAGGTGGGATGGCCCCGAGGGCGTCCACGGGGCCCTCGGAGCCATCTTGCGGGCTCCAGGAGCTGACCCTAGAGGCCAACATCCTCCAGCATCCAAATGTGCCCTTGAGGGGTTCTACAACCATCGCTCTTTCGGGCTCGCGAACGCCCAAACGGACCCCCTCCTTTCCGGTCTGAAGAGTGCCCTCGTCTTCTTGTCCTTCTTCGTTCTCTTCGTCCTCACCCCGCTCCTCCTCCTCCTCCTCCTCCTCCTCCTCGCACTCCCTCCGACACCTTCTCTCATCCTCCGCATTTCCCTCGCCCCTCTCGTCCCCATCATCGTCGTCCTCCCCTCGCCTCTTCCTCACTCGCCCTCCTCCCACTCACTTCACCCCCTCCTCCTCTCCCTCCTCGTCCTTCTCCTACTCCTCCTCCTCCTCCTTCTCCTCCTCCTCCATTTCCTTCTCCTTCAAGAGAACTTCTCCCTGTCGCACCCCGAAGCCTGTGTTTAGGGCGGGCCGGGAGGTGCGACTGAGACTTCCTCACCATGGATGACTCTGAAGCTTGAAAAGTGACAGCAATTTCACAAATTGAGGACGGGTGGTTTTCAATATGTGGTTCTCGCCTTAGCGCCGCGCACATTCGTTTTTTAATAGTTGCAAGAGTTTCACGGATTAAGGGCGGGTGGTTTTCAGAATGTGGCTCTCGCCTTAGCGCCGAGCACAATAGTTTGCAAGAGTTTCACGGGTTGAGGGCGGGTGGTTTTCAAAATGTGGGTCTCGCCTTAAACTCGCGCACATTCGTTTGTAAAATTCTGCCAGGGTTTCACGGGTTGAGGGCGGGTGGTTTTCAAAATGTGGCTCTCGCCTCAGCGTCGCGCGCATTCGTTTTCAAGAATTGCAAGAGCTTCACGGATTGAGGGCGGGTGGTTTTCAAAATGTGGCTCTCGCCTCAACGCCGCGAACATGCGTTTTAAACATTTGCAGGAGTTTCACGGGTTGAGGGCGGGTGGTTTTCAGAACGTGGCTCTCGCCTTAGCGTCGCGCACATTCGGTTCAAAATATTTGCAAGAATTTCACGGATTAAGGGCGAGTGGTTTTCAAACTGTGGCTCTCGCTTTAGCGCCGCGCCTATCCGTTTTAACATATTCTGCAAGAGTTTCACGGGTTGAGGGCGGGTGGTTTTCAGAATGTGGCTCTCGCCTTAGCCTCACGCACATTCGTTTGTAAAATTCTGCCAGGGTTTCACGGGTTGAGGGCGGGTGGTTTTCAAAATGTGGCTCTCGCCTTAGCGTCGCGCACATTCGTTTTTAACTTATGCAAGCAAGGGTTTCACGGGTTGAGGGCAGGTGGTTTTTTAACTGTGGCTGTCGCCTTAGCGCCGCGCGCATTCGTTCTAAACATGTGCAATTGTTTCACGGATTGAGGGCGGCTCCTTTTCATAATGTGGATCTCGCATTAGCCGCACATACATGTTTTAAACATTCGCGAGAGTTTCATAGATCCCCATATTCAACGTACCAGAATTGTTGTTTGATGGACTCAGGATCATGCGGGTGCAATAGTTATGTTGGTTCGCGGTGTTGAAGTCCCACAAATGACGCTCTTGCACGAGACTGGATCGTCAAGACGCAACAGTCAGGTTGATACGTGGAGTTGAATTCAAATCCTCCCAGGAAAACTGCTTGGAATGCTTCAAGATCTTGAAACAGTTGACTTCCAGCGAGGCAATTTCCTCAATGGAAATGAACCGTTGTGGAGGCCGATGAGGAGAGAGCTTGGAGGGAGGGGTCATTCCAACAACGTTGATGACTCTTGGGTTTACACTGATCCTCCTCCTCCTTCCCGTCCTCGCCCTGCTCGTCCTCGCCATCCTCATCCTCATCCTCACCCTTCCTCCTCGTCTTCGCCATTGTCGTCTTCGCCATCCTCGTGCTCGTCCTCACCCTCCTCGCCCTCTTCGACCTCTTGTTCCCTGTCCTCGTCCTCCTCGCCCTCCTCCTCGCCCTCGTGGTCCTCGTATTCGTCCTCGCTCTTCTCGTCCTCCCGCTCCTCCTCCTCCTCCTCCTCCTCGTCCTTTTCCTCTTCCTCAGTCCCGCCCGCGCCCGCTGCCCCCCACCCCCCCGCCGCCCCAGGCTGTATGAACACGTTCCTGATGCCGAGGACGCCGCACGCCTCGATCACCTGGCTGCTCTCCGCCACCCCCTCAAGTCGGGGGCGACCGAGATGGGGAGCGTTCCCGCCAGGCTCAGGGGATCTGGGGAAGGGGTCCTGACGACGACAGGTGGTGCTCATCGGGCTCAGGTGATCGACCCCCTCAACAAACAAACGGAACTGAGCCAATCTGCTGCGGCCAGTGAGACGGACAGAAGAGGACAATCGGCGAGAAAATGCCATCGCTCTCGGGGGGGGCAACAGCACTTTTCAAAACAAGCTATTAACAACAACATGCTGACTGGGCACGCCGATGGCCGCCTCAGATTAGTACCGGGAAGCGGGGGCACTTTAGGTAAGGGTTCCCGCTCGAGACTTCCCCGTTACCTGCCATCGCTCGGACGTCAATTTGCCGTGCATTGTTCGGTTTCGTGCGTGATTTTTGTTGCTCGATGGTCCAGGATGGTCCTCGAATGTTCTCGCCGAGAAAAAATGCACACGTCCGAACGATGCCAGGGTTATCCACTCACAGGCGAGCATTGTGATCATCCTCGCAAGAAGCCCAGGAACGAGGCTCCCGCTCGAGATCTCCTCGAGATTCAAGCTCCCAGGTGTGATCAAACCTTTGAACTCGGTCGGGATAAAGGGGCCAAACGATCATTCGCAATCCCTGGGCGCGTGGCACTGTCGTCGCGTTGTTGTTGTGTTGTTTTCGTCGTCCTCGCCCGCAACCTACCAGCGGCCCACCCGCGATCCACCCCGCGACCCAGCCACGACCCCCCGCGACCCACCCACGTTCTCTGACGAAAGTGCAGTGCCTGCGGCGGGCTCGTTGCGCAATGCATGCAAAAGTCTGCGCGTGCGGCGGGCTTGTTCAGAACCTGGCAGACTGCCGACGACCCCGCCGCCCCCTCACTCTCATCCGCAACTGCGGGGTGCTACGTATTCAAGTGCCTCGGATTAGTAACATGAAGTGCAGGCCCCACAGGGTTTAGGGTCCTGCTCGAGACTCCCTCGCAACTGACTCGCAGACGAACCTCACGCTCCAGACTGTCTCAAGATGACTGTGCGTATGTGCGTGTGTATATATGTGTGTGTGTGGGTATGGGACTATGTTAGTGAGTGCGTGATCGTGTGAGTGAGGGCGCGATTCTTGTGACCTAGGAGGCTCGGCCAAACCTGCGGGGCGCACTTGGCTGCCTCGGATGTCAGGGATGCCAGGATGTCGAGGATGCCAATGACGCCAAGACACCAAATTGCCAGCATGCGAAGGCACCAAGATGCGACCGCTAACATAATCCAGAATTTGAATTCTTTTAGCAAGAAATCCCAGGAAAAAGGCCTAGAGTTGGCTCTGGGCAATCAGGCTCGTTCCCACGAGTACAATTCTGGGCGCCACGAGCCCGGAGCGACCTGCACTTGGCTCCAGACGTGCACATGCAACACCAGGGACTCGAGTCTGGGAGCGCGAAGAACCCGACTGGCCTTGCAGCCGGCCCTGGACGCGCTGCAGAACTCGCCTCGCAAACGTTTGCCTGGGAAACGTCCGACAATACGTCGGCACTTCCCCCACAAAAACCATCGGCGCGCCCAGAGAAACCCCGGGCGCCCGCCCCCCCAGGATCCTGGCCTCTCCACCCCGGGGAGAGGGGCCATCCAAAGGGGCGGGGGGCTCGACGCTGAAGGTGCTCCCCCCCTCTCCCCCTACTAGGGGGCCAGATGCGAACCCTTCCCCTACCCCCCACGATTTCTGAGGGGGAGGGTGGGGTTCACTTCGCTCGGGAGCTCCCGAACGGAGTGACCCCCACCCTCCCCCTCAGAAATCGTGGGGGGCAGGGGAAGGGTTCGCATCTGGCCCCCTACCTGCGCGCCGCTGGCAAAGAATGCCTACGACGACGAAGCCGCCGGCGACGACGGCGACAGTGTCAGCAGCGGCGGCGACGACAACGACAACGACGACGACGACGACAACGACGACGACGGCGGCCGACGGACGTATGACTCCAGACGACAGACGACGAAGGACGAATGACGAACGACGCACAACTACGACTGCGATGACGCGGACGACGGAGGACGGAGGACGGAAGACGATAACGGTGACGCAGGACAACGACGACAACCGACGGACGACGACAACGGCCAAGGACGACGAGGGGCATCCCCGATGACTAAGTATGACGACGACAACGACCACGACAAAGACAACGGACGATGGACGACAGACGACAAACGCCCAATACCAAAGACTAAAACGAGGCGGACGACGGAGGACGGACAAATGACGAAGATGACGACGACGACGGTTGACGACGACTACCGGTGGACGACGACGTCGGCCAATGACGACGACGACGACCGAGGATTACGACGACGACCAGCTCGATCCAGCTCCAAAAGAATCCAACTAGGGGTTGACCCAGCTGTATAATATAATCCTGCTCGTGCTGGATCCAGATCTAATGAGACCCTACTCGGGCTGGATCCAGCTCGACTCGAATCCTGCTGGGTCTCGGTCCAACTCCTATAGAATCCCATGAAGGATCAAGCCAGCTCTAGTATAATCCCATTCAGGCTTGATCCAGCTCGAATAGAATCCTACTAGGGCTCGACCCAGCTCTAAGTCGCGGGCCCAACGAGCCAAAGGCGTGCTAAAATCTCTGGCAAGAGTCAGACTATTTCTAATTCGCGCGCGCGTGGCGGCCCCTGGGGTTCCCCTAATGAAAAATACCCCGGCAGAGTCCCAGCAGAATCGGGCTACGGATGCCAGAACTCCTGAGCGCGGCCCAGAGGCCCCCAGAGCGCCCCAGGAGCGCCTCAAGAAGGCGCCCATCAGGTGGCAGGCCTCACGGCCTCCGGCCAAAAGCGTTCCAAGATGGCCCAAGCTGGTCTCACGACAGCCCCAAAGGCTCCCAAGACGTCCCAGGAGAGCTCCAAGAGGAGCTCAATAGGGCCTGATACGGCAAAAATCACTGATTTGGGTTGGATTATTGATGGAGTTTGCTATTACTGCCTTGAAGCTATCGACCGCCCAGGACGGCCCAAGACGCCTCCAAGATCGCTCCAAGTTCGCCCAAGAGGCTCCCAGGATGGCCCATCAGGGCCCACAAATGGCCGCTTCTTGGGATACCTTGAGCGCCTTTTGGAAGCGTCCTGGGGCCTCGTGGTGGCGAGAAGGCAAAATCATGTATTTCCCATCGGTTGTCGAATGTATTTGGCTTGTTGGTTTTCGAATTTGCGTGGCTTGTCGGAGGTGTGCGTGAGGTCTCCTGAACCACTTTTGGGCTGTCTTGAGCGTCTCCTGAAACGTCGGAGGCTATCCTGAGCCGCCTGAGACCTCTGCAGGCTGTCTCGGGGGTAACTCGGGACAGTCTGGAGCGGGCCCATGGGGGCGCCTGTGAGTCGTTCCGAAGCCCTCGGAAACGTCCAGGACCCCCGGGGGGCCATCATGCGGAACTGTGGCGCCTCCCCAGTCCCCAGGCCGGCCTTCTCCGATGTGCGCATATCTAATGTCTCCGTGTGCGCGCGCGCGTGTGTGTGTGTGTGTGTGTGTGTGTGTGTGTTGTGTCCATCGTTACCTAGGCGGTCTGGCCAGTACGCGCCCGCCACCAAGCATCTGCCACAAGATTTCTGGGCGCGCGCGTCACCCTAAAGTCGCCACCGCACACATTGCAGAGTACGGCTGGGTGATGAAGCACTGATGGCACCAATGCCTTGACCTATTGCAGACGTCCCGTATGCCCTGCGCTAGGCGCCTCGGAATCTGCAGCACGAACCCCTGGTCGCGGAAATGATGGCGTGTACGCGCGCGTGCCGTCGTGTGCATCCGTGTTGCGCGCGCGATTGTATGAGGGGCCGCGGTGGTGAGCGAGTGAGCGAGCGTATGCCACTCACAGAGAAACAAAAAGAGGTAGAGAGAGAGAGAGAGAGAGAATGAAAGAGGGATAGGGGGTACCGGACATGTACATTGAAATCGCACCATGCGGCGCAAGATCCTCCATGCGGGCCCCCCACTCTTGTAATGGCGGTGTAGCAATGAGAGGGGCTTCAGTGGACATACATGCTCGCACCCCAAAATCGCCGTTCGCATTGAGGTCCACATTGATCATGGAGGATCGGGGAGGAGTCTTCAATCTGGTCTTGAGATTCGCAAAGGCACAAGAGGTGTCGGCGTCGGCTGTAGGAGAGGACTCGCAGAGAGTCTGATCACCTGTATGCCCCTGGCGGGGCCCACGCACAGGTTGACGACGTCTGTGCCTTCACCACGGGCAGATGGAAGAGGAGACGGGATACAGTCGCGCAGGGAACTTGAGAATAAAACCACAGGGAGTTTGCCAACAAAAGCACTCCTAGACACGCACACCCACTTGCACATAGCTGTCCTGCACACGGGAAGCTCGCCGAGGGACGAACAATGCAATCACAAACAACATATGGCGGGAAAATGGACTGGAAACGATGCAAGCGTCCTCCGCTTGCATCGAAACATCGTCGGATCCGTGTCGGCACGATTTCAAATAATGGCATCCCTACGCGGTAAAGCCAATCGGCGAGCATGTTTACTTCGGGTCTAACGTTTCTTGGGCACGAGTTGCCAACTGGTCCTGTTTTGCTTTCATCCCCCCGTACATTGTCCAACGAAGTGCATAGCCCTCGCCGTGGCCCTGGTCAGGCGTCTGTAAGACAACAAGATCCCACCAGCTCTCCAGGCGTAGTTGGTTTAGGCAGCGTCTTTCTTCCAACCTTCTTCCCCCTCAACCGACGGGTTATCACCGTTCCCTGTCAACTCTCCGGGCCGACGGGCCAGAGGCGTGCTAAGATCTCCGGCAACAGGTGTAATTCGCGCGCGTGGGCAGCCCCTCGGGATCGTCGTTCGAAAGGTCCCCCGGCCGAACTCCGACAAGGTCCAATCAGAGATGGTTCTGCTCTTGGGCGCCGCCCTCGGGGCTCCCCAGAGAGCCCCCGGAAGGGCCCAGAGGCCCCCGAGAGGCTCCCAAGAAGGTCCAAGAGTGCTCCGAGACGCCACAAGACCGCTCCAAGACACAAGATGACTACCAAACAGAGAGGCCTCCGAGACGCCCTGAGAAGCGTCCCAAAGCACTCCCAAGAGCGACCGAAAAGCAGAAATCATATATTCCCCATCGGTTTTTGATCGACTTCGGCGTTCTCGTCATTTCGGCTTTCCGACGTTCCAACATGGCCACAGAGGCCCCCAAGATCGCCCCAGACGGCTCCAGAAGCCATACAAGGGCCCGAAACTGGCCCAAGAGATCTCCAAGACGGCACAAAAAGACTCAAGACGACCCCAGAATGGCCCCAAGAGGGGGCCCAGAGGGGTACACCGAACAGACATGTCGACCTCTCGACCCAAAGAGGCGCCCAGGAATGCCGCACAAGCCCCCCAGAGCTCCCAAAGAGGCCCCAACGAAGCTCCCCAAAAGCTCCAGAAGCATCAAATCTGCTCCCCAGAAGCGCCCGCAAGCCATTGGAAGAGACCCCAAGAAACATCCACGAGGACTCCGACCCACAAACCCGGTGCGTCTCGAAGCTCTGCTGGAGCTCTCCTGGGCGATCGTGGCGTCCTCAGGGGCAGTCTGTCGGCTCTATTCGACAGGATGCGAGCCACATTGAAGGGGCCCTGGGACACACAAAGGAATAAACACAAATAACAGGATCTCCCAGATTCCCCCATATGTTATGGGTTTTTGTCTTCCCCCTCCCTTCCCATATTTTCCCGTATGTTTTTTTTGGGGAATCGACGGTTAAGTGTCTGTAGCCACGTCTCCAAAGACCTCCTCGAAGACAGTCCTGCCTGCCATGCCGCTCCCCGTGTGTAACTTCTCTGAGGGTCCTCAGAACCCCTGCGCTCGTGGAAACTATGTAGATTCTCGACGCCGTTCTGGACGGACTGGGGTCCCACCAACAGTGGCAAAGAAGTAATTAGCCGCGGCACCCGCCGCATAACTACGACGACGACGACGACTAGGTGAAGGAGGCGAATGTGAGCAACGCCTTCGGCAAAGGCGACGCCGCCGACGATTACGACTACGACTGCGATCGCGGTTACGATTGCGACTGCGATTGCAACTACAACCACGACTACAATCACGATTGCAATCACGATTACAACCACGACTACACTCACGACTACAACCGCAACCGCTGATTCCTATCACAATCCCAGTGCGAAGATGCTCACACATCCTTTCGCGCGCGGGGTAGCCCACAATGGATGATCCCCTGGAAGAAAGAGCCTTTCAATATTATCCAGCCCGCCCAACAATGGAAGGACCATGGTCTCCACTGCGACAGCGATCACGACGGCGAGGAGTACCATAACGACCACGAGGAGAAGGAAGACGAGGAGGACGAGGAGGAGCAGGAGGAGGAGGGGGAATGAGGAGGAGGTGGAGGAGGAGGAGGAGGAGGAAGAGGAGGAGGAAGGGGGGAGGAAAGAAGCAGCGAGCGAGCGAACGACATCGGCAGCAGCTCGGCTTCGACGCGCGGGGGCACGAGCCTACGAGGATTGGGCGCCTATCAGCGTCCTGAATTGCTGCTGGTTCAATCTTTGGGCGAGGCGGTAGGGCGCCTGAGGGAGCCCGCGGGGGCCTATGCAGCCTTGGGCCTCTCGTTGGCCCTAGGCCGTAACCTCCGGATGTAGCCAAACGAGAGGGCGGAACACTCGGGCTCAACCCTCCCAACCTGCAACTGTATGTAGTAACGTGCCGAGTGGACGCTCAGGGCACACGTTATTTAATGTTGCGCGCATCGCGTGCACACTGTGCTATACAAGCGAATAAGTGCACAACGTGCATGTTCAAGACACGGGGCGTTATGTTACAAAGTGCCGCATTCTGGAGCCGCGCCCGCGTGTCCCGAGAGAGCAGGAGTCCTAGCTGTTGACGCCCAGGAAGCGAAGAGGAACGCGCACTGGACAAAAGGTAGCGGGTGGCTAACTAGCCAGTCCGCCAAGCATTCGGCTGAGCAGGGCTTCGAAGGTTCCCGCAGGCCCTAGAGAACCGACTCCTGGAACAAAGGCCTCGGCCGTTAGACCTCGGCCAAAAAAGGCCTCCGGAGCCCAAGAACCCAGGGGGCGAGCTGTCCAGCAACAAGGGGGGGTGGCGACGATGCGGCCGCGGCGTTGTCTCACCTTTGATGGGTTGAGACAGCCTCAGTTGGTGTAGCAATATCTTTATTATATTGTCCCAACAGAACGCCGAAGCCGTCGAAGGATAGATAAGGTAGCTGCAACTGCAATCTCCAAAGATATCTCGGACCGCGTGCACTTCAACGTCGAGCACGCTGTAGAAGCACAGCGCGACAGCATCTTATCGCAGTCCCATACGGTTCAGCATGTCTCTCGCACGTGCGCTGCCCTGCCTGGCTTGTCGGCGTAGCCCTTGCGCGTCGACTGCTGCGTATCTCACATCTGGCGCGCGCGGAGCTGGTCCTGGGGCGCGCGCCCCAGCGCGCTCGGTGGGGCCGATCCCTGCGCGGGCTTGCCTCCCAAGTGAAGCAGTGCCACGTGGGCGCCCTGTCGAAACTGCTGGACCGTGAATGGCGGCACCTTCAGCTGTTCCTGCGAGCCCTCCGCGTTCTGCCCCCTCGCGTTGTTGATCTCGCCGATGAGGTGTTCGCCCTGAAATGGACTGACCGCGAGCGCGTTGCCCATAAACTGCAGTTTGTACTTCTGCGGCCCGCCCTTCTCGCTGAACGCTTGCTTGAGACGAAGCATAAGCACAGCATGAGGTCCCCCACGTGCAGGCGCGACATCTTGCTCACCAAAATAGCGAAAGTGCGAAAGATATCTTTCGACGGGATCGGCAATTCCAGCTGTGCCGGGCCCGCTCAGAAGGCGACCGCGATCTGTGTGCGCGGGCTGCCCAAGTCCTTCTCGCCTGCTTTCGCCTTCTCCGCGTAGGCCGCCCCCATCTCCGTGCCCTGATCCGTCGCCGCGTTCTGGGGGATCAAGTAGAAGTCCCACACCGAGCCCGCCAAGTGCCTCGACATCTGCGCGGCGTTGGGGGCCGCGCGCGGGAGTGTCGTCATCTCGTCTCTCTCGGCTGGCAATCCAATCCCAGCATTCGCACGACGCTGGGGGTGCCCACCCGGCGCTGCTTGTTGGCGCGGCCGCTGAGCTGGGGGGGCAGCTGCCTGGCCGGCTGCGCCGAGCGCGTCTGATCTTGGGCGCGGTCCCGACGCTGTCAGCATCCACCCTGCGGGGTGCATCTTCAACTTCTGGCCCTGGCACGTGCTCTCGCACGCGCTGCAGATGAGTGTAAAAGGTCGTGATGTACAATACCGCGGTGACCACGCGTGTAGGGAGGGTCTGTTCCGGGCCGAAAAGCCGAAGGATACAGGAGCGGGCTGGGCACATGCGCGGTCGTTTGGCCGCCATAATCCAAACATGTCGCAATCACGAGGCGTTGCTAGCAAATGATCTCTGACACCATGGGCACGCGTTCGCGCGCATGGCGAGCGAGTATTGGTTGCGTAGCTGATGAGCAAACGTGACGCGAGCGTTCAGAGCCCTCATAGCAGGAAAAGTGGCCCCGCATGCTGTACCGCCGGCCATCTCATGCATGCACAGAGACCCCTCCTCGCATTCCTCCTCCTCATCGTGAACGACGTGTCCTTGTGCTCCTCGTTCGTCGTCGCGTACACGTTCTAGTCACGTGCGCAGAATGGGCTTATCAACCTTGAATTTCTTGAAAACCGATGCTGCTACTCCGTCTTTGAAAAAGCTCAATGATGTTTTGCGCGTCGTGCCACCCGCTCGTGCAATCTAGATTTGGCCGTGCTCCCTTGACCTGGAAATATGAGTCGCGGTGCTGCTGCGTCGCTTTTGCCACAGTATTTCGGTCTGCAAACCATTGCTTTGCCCAAGGGGCGCCGTGCTCGTGAACCTTGCCAGCGTTGTCTAAACGGCGGCGCTTGACGCAGTCATCCAATCTCGTGGTCTCGAAAACTCACACGAGCACTTGCTCGCGATTCACGGGGTCCCTGACGATTGTCCTGGCCCACCTCAAACGTTGCAGCTGGAGCTCAACGGCAGTGGGCGAGATGTCCCAGAATGAGAAGACCGTCCTGGGAGGCATGCTGCGAGTGCGGCCGTCGTCTGTCGTGACCGCAGCTCTGCCTTTCATCGGTCCCCGATGCATTCTACGATCGCGATGTCCAATCGATCTACGATCCAGTGAAATGTTCAGGTAGCACAGGCGCTGACAGTCTTGACATAGCTGCCGAATACACAAAGC